CGATGATGAATTTTCGGAAATTTAAAATTATCGTGAAACCAAAGTTTTTCGTTTTCGATTAACTCTACCTCAATGAGGTAGGAATACACTTTATAGTCTTTTTTACGGTTAATTTCTTTTTTTATAGCATAGGGTAATAAACGAGCACACAGTCCACCTGATGGCAAGTGGTTGCTGTGGCCCATAGACATTTACATCTATCCTCGATTACGAATCAAAATGCAGATGCGCTCTCACCCGTGAGGACTTAGATGGAATGCCTCGTTTCCAGTAAAGAGGGTCTCCGGTTCTCTACACTTACCATACGAAACACAGCAGCATTAAGCTACTATTTGATGCCGATATTCCGTGAGAGCGTGGTTCTTCCCCGGTTGAGCCGACCCATTCGTGCTACAACTACTAACTCCCGTAATATAACTGCAGCATGGCTCTACCACGTTAGAAAATTTGCTTTGGCCAGCTAAACATTTATGTTTTATTATTCCATAAGATTTTTATTATTTTAAGACTAATATTACCTATAATTTATTAATTATTTTTAATTGTTGTTTTCTATATTAAGTACTGATTGAGTTAAAGACCAAGATTTTAATATTTTATGACTAGACCTAGTGCAAATAATTATTTACAATTGTTGAATAATTATGTACCCTTTGTTGATTTCTGTAATAAGTACTGATTTTTTTATTCCATGACCAAGATTTTAATATTATAAGACTGATTTTTCTAGTGCGAATAATTACCTATATACAGTTGTTGATTAGTGAATAATTACGTACCTTTTCTATTTTAATAATATAAAATTACAAATAATAAATGTGTTTTCTTTACTTAAGGTATGAAGAGCAATTTTCATTTTGTGTTGTGCGATTTTCTTTCTCAATCTCAAAATCATTTAGCAACATCAGTATCATATGAAACCCCCCTTTATCATAAGAGCGTAAGACTTTTCTTCTGTGATTCACTTGGCCTACGCCTTGCCATAAAATATTTTGAATAGATGTCTGTATATTTTGGTTACATCGATTTTGAAATCGATACACAACGTGCGACACGGCTACATCTCTAAGAAAGTTTCAAAAAGAAAGGTCAGCTACGCCGTTGTCGTCCAGTCGTGACAGTGACGTCATCACGACGGAGAGTAGTGTTGTGGTTTACTACTATTTTATTGTTATTGTTTGTTTTTTATTTATGTACAAAGTACATATATAAAAAGAGTGGAAGACAGCACAAGATTAAATAAAACATACCCGATTATAAAGACTCATTTATTGTATAAAAAACCAACAAAAACAAGTTATTTTGTGTTATCGATATATCAACTCTTGGCAGCACTGTTTTTTTCGTAGGTATTTTTGTTTACTTTTCGCTTTGGCGTACAGGACACGGTAGTGAGTTTTTGGCGTGGCGCTCAAAAGGTTAACAAAGTCCTATAAGCCTTCTTCCTTTCATCTTTCCTTCTTCTCAAGACATGAAATTTAAAACGGTTTACTCCACAACAACCAGGTGGGTGAAGTCACTATTTCAAACTTCGATTGAGGTTACAACTACGAGAAGCTGTCCATCAGGAAGAAGTAAGGTATATTGTCACCCTTTCTTTAGACCCTTGCGGTTAACCAATTATTGTATAAGATGGCAGACCTTTACACTGACATACAGGGTTATGCTGATGACCATGTGGTCATTGCGAGAGGTTTTTGACAAAGTACTTTATCATCAATCATATAAAAAGCCTTAAACACCATAAATAATTGGTGTAGGGATAACAGTTTAACAGTTAATGTTGATAAAACTGTTATAATACCCTTTACCAAAAAGCTTAATACTAAAGAAGTACCATTCTCCACTGAAGTATCTGGGCGTAACAGTCAACTAAAAACTAACGTAGAACTCTCATCTTAGCAACGTATGTCATAAGGCTAAAATTGTTTAAGGTACGTGCAGTCGTGTGGCTGGGAACAACTGGGGCATGCGTGCGATCCTATGGCTGAATAGCAGAATAGTGTGGCCATTTTTTACCACGCTCATTGTTTGCTGTAATAAGGGCAACTAAAAGACGACTGCGGACAGGCTCCATAGTCTACAAAAGGGCTGCCTGTTTAATGGTAACTGCAGCGATGCGATCATCGCCCAACTTTTATTATTAGTAAGGATTAACGCCCAGGGCCTGAGCTTGCTTTCTTACAGATTGAGATCGATGCTCGACTCAATAAAGGAAACACCGACCATAACCAACGTGGTAGACCACGCTGCAGTTATATTAGTAGTATATTTGTAGCACAAATGGGTCGGATCGACCGGAGAAGGACCAGGCTCTCACAGAATACCAGCGTCAAAGAGTAGCTTAATGCTGCTGTGTTTCGTATGGTGAGTGTATAGAACCAGAGACCCTTTTTACTGGAAACGAGGCAATCTATGTTAGTTCTCACGGGTGACAACGCTTCTGCATTTTGATTCGTAATCGAGGATAGATGTAGATGTCTATGGGCCATAGCAACCACTTACCATCAGGTGGACTGTGTGCTCGTTTTTCACCCTATCCTATAAAAAAGCATGATCTCAGGTATCATGCGGCCACTATACACTTTTAATAAAAACTACATAGTGGAACTACCCTCCAGAGAAGACTGGCTAAATGGGATGGTTATCTGTGAGGTCGGTAGCCTTATATGGTATACCGATGGGTCAAAAATGGGCCTCGACGTAGGCTTTGGAATTTATGGGGAACGCCCCAAATTCAAACTTAGTATTAATTTGGGGAATTTACCTCTATTTTCAGGCAGAAATTTTCGCCATACTTCGGTGTGCGGAAATCAACCTGCAAAATCACTACGTCAACCATTTTATCTGTATAGACTCTGATAGCCAAGCAGCACTACTAGCACTGAGATCAAACTTAGTGAACTCGAAGCCAGTTAAAGGCTTTGTGAACTGACTAAACGCCTTAGGGCGCCTTCAAATTAGAAGCGTGAGGAAGCGCTGCGGTGGTGCTACCAAAAAGAAGCGCTACAGCGGCGCGACTGTGTCGCAGTAGACGCGCGTCAGTAATGCTTCGGTAAATTGTAGTGATGTTTATCAGTTTTTGAAAAAATTGCTAATTTCAAAATACATACAAATAGAAACATGGTGTTTTTTTTTCAGGTATTTAACATCAGGTATTTAGCCTTACAAGTTTACACTATTCTTATCAACGAGGACTTTCACCCATTTGTGGGATTGTGAATGAAACGTCAAATAATGTTTGAAATTCTAAATGCTAGTTATATCCCGAAACTAAGTCAAGATGACTGTTTAGGTGTCGCAAATGGATTCTTCAATAAATCCAACTTTCCTAATTGTTTGGGTGCCGTAGATGGTAAACATATACGAATCATCCAACCAGAATACTCCGGGTCTTTGTATTATAATTATAAAAAATATTTTTCTATTGTTCTTTTAGCTGTATGTGATTCTAATTATTGTCTTACCTGTATAGATGTTGGGTCTTACGGCAAAGCTGCAGATTTACAAATTTTAAAAAATAGTGACTTCTATAGAGAACTTCAGGGAAGAAGACTTGACATCCCAAATAGCGCATCGATTGATTATAATGGAAGTTCAATATAATTAAAAGCGTGTCACTCCCTACGCAAAAATGACGTGCGTGTGTCACGGTAGTGGCGCTGCAACTGCACTTCCAGAAATTGTATAAAGATTGGTAGTGGCGCGGCTAGCGCACCACAGTGGCGCCACTGCAGCGCTTATTCACGCCTCTAATTTGAAGGCGCCTTTAGGGTGTGTAACAACGGCCGTTTTGAGGTGGGAGCCGGTATTGTAGGCAATGAACTTACCGACAAGCTCGCATGGGAGGTCTCAAAGGGTACACAATTTGGACCCGAGCCATTTTGTGGAATCTCAAAAAGCCTGACCCGATTGACCCTTGAAACTCTTTATCACATTTAATCGCTTAAGATCTGGTTTGATACAGTAGTTTTAAAACATTCTAAAATCTTAACCCGGGTTTATGATCGTAAATTTGCTTCAGAAGCCCTGGGATTAAGTAAGAATTAAGAATAAAAGAAAATTTTTAAACAACTATGTACAGTCAAGGCTCCTGCCAAAATGTACAGTTTACATTTTGGCAGGAGCCTTGACTGTACATAGTTGTTTAAAAATTACATTATGTAAAAGAATTTAGATAATCTATTATACTATGGTTTACAAACGTTTTGACAGGACTTTACGGTCTTCAAAATAGTGTTTAGCGTCGTTTACTAAAAATAATTTAAATTATTCAAAAATGCATTAATTAAAAAAAATTTTAATTAATGCATTTTTTGTTTTATTTTTTTTTGTCTTGTAATAAAGATAAAAATGTTTTTTCAATAAAGCCCCTATATATCCAAGTATACGTATGTAAAATTACAGCTTAATTAATTTTGAAAAAACTGAAATAAATGTATGAAGTTTTGAGACGAAACACACCTGGTTTTCCCATATTGACCCGTAAGCAATTTGCAGGTTAGAACTACTATAAGGACCAATCCTAACACATTGAGTTCTATTACTTAAATAACTTTGGAATAGAGTTAACAGAATTCCTCTTACTCCCAAAGAATAAAGTTTGAAATTAAGATAGGTATTGAAACAGTATCAAACTCTAAGGTCGTGAAACATTGCGATACATTTTGACGTGTGTCAATTTTCCTGACGATGAAATCAATAAGGCTGTGGACAACATCATACGTAGACAGATTTCTTCGAAACCCAAATAATTAGATAACCAATTTGTTTTTAAATTTTATTCGTTATTCACTACCACACATAATCATGGCCATATTGCCCCCTTTTCAACTGACCATAATAACCACCTTAGTTTTTAAGTAGTAGTTGTAAAAAAATTAGTTTGCATTATTCCCTTATCCTCTTTTGTATACAATTTTATACATTTATAATACATATTTTTAAAATAAATAGAAACATAAAATTGATCACAATTGAAAATAACGTTTTGGCTTTTATTATAAAGAGTAGCCAAAATTATTAATCCATTTCAATCCATCTTTGCTATTGCCCACTGGTTTGTACTCCAAGCCAATCCAATCAGTGTATCCATTAGTTTCCAATTGTTCAAGAATGTATTTGTAGTTTATTTCACCAGGGGTGTCTGGCTCATTTCTGTTTGGCACTTGAGCGATCTAAAGGAAAGTGGTTTAACATTAAAAAAATAATCTTAAAGTTTAAAAGTATGTAAAAAATAACTATTTAAAAAAAAGTAATACAAACCTGTACATGCCCTACGTAGGGCATGAGTTTTTTAATGTTATAAGACAAATCTCCACAGATGTGTTGAAGATGAAATATATCCAATTGCAGCTTTACGTGTGCACTATCAATTCGCTTTATTATATCCACAGCTGAAATGTTAAATAATCAAAAATTTTAAATAAAAATATACTTACAAAAACTTGTTTCTTTATAAAGACATCATTACAGCACTTTATAAAGCCACTGCTAAACATAGGTCGCCCTTAACAAAATGCCACAAAACACAGTCCAAAGCTACCTGCATCTATCAACTACCTAGATGTTTTATCAGTTTGTCACTGCATCTAGTGGGGGGCCACTCTACTCTGTACCAGTAAAAGGCTGCCACTCAAGAACCTTTATTTCTAAAGTAAAGCATTATAGTAAATTAGATTTTTTTAATGTAATGTTCTCTAGACTAAATTTCAGACATGACAACAGAGACTAGCACAGGACAAGATTATTGTACACGAGTGAGTACTAAAGCACAACTAGACCAAATTAAGACCAGGCGCTGAACCAACAGCTTTACGTTCATTCTGAAACACCGCCAACTTGCTGACTCCGGGTAAAAAGTAAAGTTACAGCCTATATACGTCCCACTTCTGGGTCCAGGCCTCCTCTCATTTCTGAGAGGGTTTTAGGGCAAGGAAGTGTCCGCCGCGCTGCCCCATTGCGTGTTGGTGAACTTCACATGTCTTCGAAAAAAAAATTTCTTATTCCTCAGACATGCAGGTTTCCTCACGATGTTTTCCTTCACCGCCGAGCACGTGGTAAATCAGCACTTAAAATTGCAATTAACAATTTCATAGGTGCCGGCGGGGAACTACGGGTTGCTACTGATGATTTATTGACAAATAGACTGATTCGGTCCCATCCGGGATTCAAACCTGCGACCACTTAATAGACAGTCCCGCTTACGTCCACTAGACTAACGCGGCTGTTATAAAGTTGAATGTAATAATATATTGATGGAAATGGTTTTTTTTGTGCGAGCAGCTATGCAAGTCTATAAAGAGTAGTACAGTATCACTGCGATCTATATTATACACATAGAATTGAAGAAGTTGATTAGCTAAAAGCAATTTCACTTCTTCTGGGCGAAGTACATAGTTTTCCAGATGAGTATTAAGTTTGCGCATTAAGGGTCCACAATCAGTTAAGATGTACAGAGGTGTTTCTTCCGTTAGCACTTAGAGTACTCGCGTATGCTACATATGTAACCCAACGTATAAAACAGTCGTTTATATTTTTTTTAATAAACTTGCTACAGTGACAAAGTTTCGTGTATAAATGATAATAGCCCCTCCCGTGAGTAGCGTGGCGACTCCCGCGATACACAGATGTTGGAGTATATTGTCGTTGTAAAATAACTTATGTGAACAAATACAAAGATGGCTGCTAGAGGAAAACGAAGAGGATGAGGTTTTAATTGAAAGTGAAGGGTTCGACGAAAAGAGTCGAAGAACAGCAAGTTCTCTTTATAAAGAGAAGACCCTATTACGAGTATGTTATATGTATATTTAAACGTAAATTCTATCTCGAAACAAAACATTCAGTATACGTGCGTTCACTTCACTGCCATATGGGCCATTGCACGTGCGTTCTAGAAGTATTTATGAGCGCGTATACTCCTGTACAGTCTAGGCTCCTGCCAAAATGCGTAGTTTATTCTTACTTAATCCCAGGGCTTCCGAAGCGAATTTACGATCATAAACCCGGATTAAGATTTTAGAATGTTTTAAAACTACTGTATCAATCCAAATCTTAAGCGATTTAATTTGATAAATAGTTTCAAGGGTCAATTGGGTCAGGCTTTTTGAGATTCCACAAAACGGCTCGGGTCCAAATTGTGTACCCTTTGAGCCCTCCCGTGCAAGGTTGTCGGTAAGTTCATTGTCTACAATTCCGGCAAGACCCGGAACTCACCTCAAAACGGCCGTTGTTACGCACCCCAAGGCGTTTAGACGGTTCACGCAGGCTCCAACTAGCTTCGAGTTCAGTAAGTTTGATCTCAGTGCTAGCAGTGCTGCTTGACTATCAGAGTCTATACAGATAAAATGGTTGACGTAGTGTTTTTGCAGGTTGGTTTCCGCACACCGGAGTATGGCGAAAATTTCTGCCTGAAAGATAGAGGTAAATTTCCCCAAATTCATACTAAGTTTGAATTTTGGGCATTCCCCATAAATTCCAAAGCCTACGTCGAGACCCATTTTTGACCCATCGGTATACCATAATAAGGCTACCGACCTCACAGGTAACCATCCCATTCAGCCAGTCTTCTCTGGAGGGTAGTTCCACTATGTAGTTTTTATTAAAAGTGTATAGTGGACGCATGATACCTGAGACATGCTTATGGTCGGTGTTTCCTTTATTGAGTCGAGCATCGATCTCAATCTGTAAGAAAGCAAGCTCAGACCGCCCTGGGCGTTAATCCTGTACTAATAATAAAACTTGGGCGATGATCGCATCGCTGCAGTTACCATTAATCAGGCAGGCCTTTGTAGACTATGTAACCTGTCCGCAGTCGTCTTTTAGTTGCCTTATTACACCCAACAATGGAGGCATGGTAAAAAATGGCCACACTATTCTGCTATTCAGCCATAGGATCGCACGCATGCCCCAGTTGTTCCCAGCCACACGACTGCGAGAATGGTACTTCTTTACAGTTAAGCTTTGATGTGACAAATTTTTCCAACTGTCTCTTTTTGGTAAAGGGTATTATAACAGTTTTAGCAGCATTTACTGTTAAACTGTTATCCCCTACACCAGTTGTTTATGGTGTTTAGGGCTTTTATATATGATTGATGATAAAGTACTTTAGCAAAAACCTCTCGAATTGACCACAAGGTCATCAGCACAACTCTGTGTATCAGTGTGAAGGTCTGCCATCTTATACAATAATTGGTTAACCGCACGAGTCTAAAGAAAGGGTGACAGTATACCTTACTTCTTCCTGATGGACAGCTTCTCGTAGTTGTGACCTCAATCGAAGTTTTAAATAGTGAATAAATACATAGAAAACAAAATTAACAAAGCTAGTATAACTTTTTGGGTATGCAGAAACATGATTGGCAAACGGTTGGGTCTGACGCCAAAAATTATACTGTGGCTGTACAAAACTGTAATTCGGCCCATGATCATATATGGTGCTCTGGTATGGTAGACCAAAACAAATGAAGCTACCACTATAAAAAAGCTTCAGCGTTATCAGGGACTGGCTACCACAGGCTGCATAAGAACTACACCAACAGCAGCCCTAAAAGATATGCTGGAGCTAACTCCGCTTTATCTACACATACTAAAAGAAGCTACTTTAGCTGCCATTAGACTCAAGACCACAATCTTTGGAAAGACTAGAGTCAGCTCTGGGTACTATGGGGCCGGAACCAATAATACCAATCCCCTTTGGTAAAGTTCGTACACTGGTATGTGGAAACTTCACTAATCTACATGCCCATCTTTGGAAAAGTCTAGTAGGCTGTAGACAAGCTAGGGAGGCCCTGCCTAAAATAAACGTCATTTAACCAAGGTTATAATAAGACTGCACAAGTCACAGATTAGGATAGTAACAAGTGCTATCACAGGACATGGCTCCCTTAACAAACATTTATTTATCATAGGTGTTACACATAGTCCCCTGTGCAGGGCATGTATGGGGGAGGAAGAAACGGCAGCCCATGTCTTGCAGACACGTCCGGAGGTCACTGCATACTGGGCACCCTGGGATCACGCCCCAAATTGCTTGCAACATCAAAGGACTGTTGAACTTTTTCAGGGAGGCTTAATGGCTCGAATAATCACATTATTTCTGCCCACATGCAAAATGCGCTTGGATGTGGAGTTGTGGAAAACAGCCCATCGTAAACTAAACTAAGTCCAGCTGTAAACTGCTTATGGACCAAAGGAAGAGTTGTAATGGTACACAGACTTGTTGAATTTGTTTCCTATAATTTTAAAAGTAGAAATAAAAATATTGCTAGTTTTATTTCTTTATGCTTTATATTATATCCTTAACATATATTATGTACTGTGTAGTTTGTGTAAAAAGAAATTATATATCTTATTTGTGCAACATGCAAGATTTAAGACTGTAGTTCCTATAACAAGTTAGCAGAATAACAGCATATGTTTAAAAGGAGTCTGGGAAGGTACCAACTTATTTTTGACGATATATAGCAGTGCCTACACAGTTGTGTCTGGTCTGAATGGTGTAGAGCTAGTATAATAACAGGTTGTAAGGCATATCATATTAGACCTCAGTAATGACGATGGCATCAGATAAATTATAAGTTTATCACTTCTATTATATTAAAGAAAATTTCTACATTTGACATAAAGTTATGAAATTAATTTATCAAAATATATATACATATATTCATTCCATTACAACCTGTCAACAGTGCACTGAAGAACATAAGTGTCAACCATAGATTGACTCATAGCTTGGAAGATGTGTGTAATGTGAGCAATGGCATTTCTACTGATTTGTTCTCTCTTTTGCCTCTTACAACACCCACAGGATAATATGTGTAATTGATTCTCATATGCCGCCAATACACAGCCCTACATATCTTATTTTCATTTTGACTGCCTTGTTGGTCTAGTGGTTGTAGTAGTGCAACTGCTAATCATGAGGTCCTGGGTTTGAATCCCGGGTCGGGCCAAAAAATTAATTATTGAGTTTTTCTGTCAAGAAATTCTCAGTAGTTGCCCGGAGTCAAGAAGTTGGTGGTGTCTCACCCCCATGCCTCGAAAAGCATGTAAAGCGTTGGTCGCGTTTATGTAGAGTGAGGGAATAGAGTGCATCTGTGCGTGAGCATATACTTGGGCACTATAATCCTGTCCTACGCTAATGGCTAGCCTCCGTTGAGGCAGCCCGCCGTGGCCGAAATTCGGTCTGGAGGACATTATTATTATTATTTTCATTTTGTTTCATAGCATCGTTTCTTAATATTGAATTATTTACCTCTTTCATAGTCACTTAAAAAGTATTTAGGTACAGAATGTTGATTAATTGGTTCTATGACACCCAACAGGTTCACCTGTTTCAATACATCAGCTGCAAATTTCAAATTGTCCTCATATGTCTCCCAATTACTTGATGTTACTTTTTCTAACTTTCCAGCCATAATATGAATTTTTTTAGCACCTACAGCTTTTGCATAATCTATTGTGACTTGCAAATTCTCCTTAAATTCATTCTCTTTGCCGGGCTGGGCAGTTACACCCAATTCACCTTTGTTTACATCACCTGTAATATTTTCGAAACATTTCAATATCTGCAAACTTAATAAAATAGGGTGTAAGTTAAAACATGATAGTCACTTTTAGAGAATAGTATTAACTATGTAATATCACAATTATTATAGCATTAGTGTCTATGTTGTGTTATCATAATAATTATTCACAGCTTGAGTAATTTTGTAAATAATAAAGTATTTTAATATATTTTGTCAAACTACTGTGGATATATAAACTTACCAGTTTTGAGATTTATTAATATTTGTTCAACTCCTGAGCTTTCTTTTGCCATTTTCACCTGCTCTAAAGTGTGTCCAAAGGGGAATCCAGTTTCAACTGCTTTAAATCCAGCTTCTTTTGCCAAAGCATATCGTTCCAAAATCGTAGCACCTTCAGTAAACATGAACGAAAGATTCGCACAGAACTTCATATTTAAAATAATTGTATTTAAATAAAACAGTTGTCACCGCTCGTAAATGTTAGGGAGTGAGACTAACAGAACATATATACCCCTAAAGGTTAGACTTAATAAATATTTATTTAAAAGCTGTGCTGTGTTACATATTTAGACACTCTTATCTCCTCTTATCTATGATGTCAACCGTCAGTAGTATTAGTATTGCCAGGCTAAATCCTCACCGTACCATACACAATTTTTATACGACATGCTTGTCTTACATACATTGTCATTGACTCTCATAGCCTTTTAATAAGAAAGTATTTGAAACATAAACAGGGGCAGGCCTCTCTCACTCTTGCTACCTGCGTGAAATAAATGCCTTTTACAATCGTACCTCAGGTTACATACGCAGTAAGGGCTAACGCGGTTCAACGACTTACTACTACTTACTACTACCACGACTTACTAGTGAATTTTTTTCGTGGTAGGGCCACGCTGCAGCTATATTATAGTTGTAGCACGAATGAATCGGCTCGACTAGGGCATAAACACGCTCTCACAATACCAGCGTAATGCTGTTGTATTTCGTATGGCGAATGTAGAGAACCGGAAACCCTTTTCACTGGAATCGAGTCCATCTTAGTCCTCAGGGGTGACAACGCATTTTGATTCATAATTGACGATAAATGTGGATGTCTATGGTTTCTACTTACCATCTGGTGGGCTGTGTGCTCGTTTGTCACCCAATGCTATAAAAAAAGAATTTCAAAGTTTTTAACACTATTTATGTAAATAGATTTTTTGTAAATACTTGTATAAATATTTTTGTTTTTCGTTTAGTATATTAAGTTATAGGATAAAATAGTTGTTTAAGTTTCAGTGTAATTTATTAGTATATTACGGAAAATACATACATTAACAATTTTTGAAACATAGTAATGATAAAACCAGCTAATAATTTACTAAAATTATTAACGAATAATAATTTTATCACTCCGTGTCAATGTTCTCTCTTCCAGTATTTAGTTAAAATTAGAGTTATTTCCAGTCATAAATTTAATAACCGTTAATTTAAAGACGGCAAAAAATATAAGATATTATATCAAAGTAAAACATTTCGAATTAAATAAACAATCAGAAGGTTATATGTTAAAGGTTACGCAGTGTGTTTTTACTCTTTGTTGATAGCCTTTGATAATCACGAAATATAGTTTGTGATGTAGGAAGGGGAAAAGGTGCAAAGCCATACGGACACTCGCGCGCAGCGATGAGGTTTAATTTAGCTGGCGTGCGTGATTTATTTAATTAATAATAATTCTTTAGGCTATTAAAACTTCGGCAAGTAGTCACATCAAAGAAGTGCAACCTCTGTACGTAGTACTATTGTTTATTCTGTGATAGGGGTGTTACCACCTCCACTCCTTAAATTCTTTAATTTTCTTTTTTGAAACATTTATTGATACATGATATTAGAACTAAAAAAAAAAGATAAATGTAAATACTTAAAACTACTTTTTTGGGGCGTCTTTAAAATACTGTTTGTATAATCTTTGCTGGTCATTAATACTTATAATTATTTTCTCTGATACTTATTAGTTAGGGCGCATACAGGTTACCAAGTTACCGTACACACAGGTAATTACCGTACGTGTGGTAACTATAATTGATAAACATGCTCATATCACTATCGCTCCATAATATAAAATTAAAAATTATAATAAATATCGCTTACTGATCACCGCAAACATAACCACACTTTGCAAAAACATTCTGATAGTGATATATATATATATATATATATATATATATATATATATATATATATATATATTATAACCTTTATCTGACTTCAGTGTGTTTCGTTCCTCATAATATGAGTAATATATAAGCCAATGTAGATAGGTATGTGATATGACTTTTTTTTTTTTATAGAATAGGCTGACAAACGAGCACACAGTCCACCTGATGGTAAGTGGTTGCTGCGGCCCATAGACATCTACATCCATCTTCCATTACAAATCAAAATGCAGATGCGTTGTCACCCGTGAGGACTGAGATGGAATGCCTCATTTCCAGTAAAAAGGGTCTCCGGTTCTCTACACTCACCATACGAAATATACCAGCATTAAGCTACTATTTCACGCTGGTATTCTGTGAGAGCGTGGTCCTTCTCCGGCCGAGCCGACCCATTCGTGCTACAACTATACTATTAATATAACTGCAGCATGGCTCTACCACGTAAAACTACTAACGTAACTAACGGTAATGCTTTGTCTGAAATTTACTATGTATTTTGAATTGTTTACTTGATGTTGACTGAGCACATTATATATTATACCTACATACTCTTAGACGAATAAAGAAATATTGAGGGAAAGTTGCATACATTTTTAGTGATGCCGAAATCATGCTCAATTTTATAACGCACACACTTCTTTCTTTTTTTTAATTTATTAGCCTATAAAACTTCACTGTTGGACGCACAATATGTTCCCCTAAAATCATGTTGTTTGCTAATGATTTAAGATGCATATAGCATATATAAAGGTATCTGCGGGTGATAAGGTCTGTCGTCTAATAAGGTCTTAGTTACAAAAATGGTATTTATAATAACAACTCTCGTTCAGGGAGCCAGATTCCTATTACACGAAAATGTCTCTACAAGTTTGCAGAGACGCGCTACCCCGTGTCCTGCCATCAGTGTTGCATTATCTATCTTAAGATCGACTGCACTGCACCAAAATAAAACTCAGTCTAAATAAATCTTACATAATATGTTTTGTAATATTACACTTAGCTATTATCTAAAATCGTAATCCTTGTTAATAAATACTTTGTTGATCTTGAAGATTTGAATAACCTATCGTTGTCAAATTTTTTCAAATTTGGTTTTTCTTAATTACTTGGTCGGCGGTTATTGAGGCCTACTAAATTTCACTGTGGGCCTTATTTAAGGCTTTGAAATTTACTCCCTCTTCGTGTGTAGTTTTGTTTTATAATGTATTTTATATCACTTTTAAAATGTTATAGATGCAAATAAATCGAACGCTTTTATTACTCAACTAATGTAGTCAGAAAAAGACTTGGTTTGAGCTGTCTAAACAGCGCCAAAGGTAAAGTGCGTCGGAGAATTAAGGCTTGACATTAGTAGTTATTACATTATGTGTAAATTATTGGTTCTTCGCTTAAGGTCTCTCGGACCGCATCGGATTGCGATTTGATGATTGTGAGATTTGTGAGGGAGTGGAGAGTGCACCTGTGCTTGCACATGTACATTCGGACACTATAATTTTGTACTGTCGGAGACTAGCCTATGTTACAGTTATTGTTGTAGCTGTGACAAAAATTGTTTGGGAGGACACTCAAGCCAACAACCAACCAACTCTCAACTCAACCTAAAACTCATCTCAACTCGAGACAACCGACCCACTGATTATAATCATGAGGAGTGCCTTTACTCGTCCGTTTGTTCATCATTATACTATAGGTTGGAGTAGGTAGAGCTGTTTTTGCTACTTGCGACATGCGGACATAACATGGATATGCCAAATATTTCCCGGAATCCCGGGAATTCTCGGAATTAAAAAAAAAACATTGTTTAAGTAGTTTTTACAGGAGTAGGTAGAGGTATTTTTGTTATTTTTTATAAGCGGACATAACATAGATATGCCAAGTATTTCCGTTTGTCGTTTGTCGCCCTAAAATAATAGTAAACAGTTAAAATTTTTCCAATAAATAGTCGAAATAACGAAAAAACGGTGTAAAAATTCACGAAAATTTATTCCACAGTAAGTATGAAATACAAATGCATGTTGTTAGCCGATCAAGACAATCGGAACACTGTCAAACTCGTCTCCGAAAATATTTAGGTAAGAGCAGTCAATAGCCAATGAAAATGGTTATTGTAGGAAAACGCGGTGCTTAAAGGGGTGTGCGAGGGGGAGGTCTTAGTCCACTTTGTATTCTAAATGACTTAGTCAGCTTTTAACACAAGATTGTATTAGAAAAAAAACTGTCAGATGCGTGTCGGATCACCTACAAGGTAGAGTAGCGGGAGAGCACAATTTACGTAAACAAGTTCCCTACTACTCAGGTCACTAACGAAAAATTCCACTTTAAACTTTTGTATATAAAAATGGTTGTGGGCTGTGACAAACAGACGGACATGGTGAAACTATAAAGCTTCCTTTGGAACTTCGGAAGCCTGAAAAAATATGTATTTAGCAGAGGACAATTACTTTGGTTTTTCACTGAATATCCTTTGTAGTAAGTAGATATTATAAAAATAAAAAACATTTACCCAAATGTGGTAGGTAAATCAAACAAACAGTTTCAAATGTATCCATTCCGCAAAAAAACAAATCAAAATCCGTAAATCCAAGCCAAGTATTCGTGTCAGTAAGATTCCAGAAACCTGTTAAGAAGCCAACATCAAATAAGAAAGAAAGAAAAGTATATTTCAATCTAGATTCCGGCCCGGTCATAGAACAACAACTGCTCTTCTTTAGGTAACTGATGATATCCGTCGAGCCATAGATCAAAAACAATTAACCGTACTCGTTTTATTAGATTTCAGCAGTGCCTTTAAGGACGCGTTTACAAAATGGATAGGTGTAGAATCGCACTACTACATTGACAAAAGTCACACACACACTAGTGTACGCACGGTTGGCTGTGGGAATCGTAGTCAAATGAAATTATTTTGATAATTTGAAAGATTGAATTTGTTTTTCATTTCTTATACCTACCTCAGAAATATACTTCGATACGAAATATGAATACCTGCTCCAAAGACTGCTTGGCACTGGAAGCCCTCTACTGGTAGTGAGATGTTAGCTCTGGACTTTGAACTGGTTTTGTCAGTTATAATAAGACCTTACCTACCTGCGGACTTGATGGAGTGACCTGAAGGTGTAATTTGGTGATTACAAAAGGAACTCCTGGACTAATGGAACTGAGTGTGCCGAGTTTGGGTTTGTTTTGTTGGTTATGATGAGACCTTACCACCGGACTAGATGGAGTGACCTGAAGGTGTAATTCGGTGATTATAAGTGGAACTCCTAGACTAGTAGAACTAGGTGTGCCGAGTTTGGGTTCGTTTTGTTAGTTATGATGAGACCTTACCACCAGACTTGATGGAGTGACCTGAAGGGGTAATTCAGTAACTACTGCTGGAATTTCTGAACGAGTAGAACTAGGTGTGCAGAATTTGGGCTCTGTTTTGTTAGTTATGACGAGTCCATACCTCCGGACTTGATGGAGTGACCTGAAGGTGTAAATCGGTGATTGCAACTGGAACTCTTAGACTGGTAGAACTAGGTGTGCCGAGTTTGGGTTCGTTTTGTAGGTTATGATGAGACCTTACCACCGGACTTGATGGAGTGACCTGAAGGTGTAGTTCGGTGATTACAAGTGAAACTCCTAGACTTGTAGGACTAGATGTGCCGAGTTTGGGTTCGTTTTGTTAGTTATGATGAGACCTTACCACCAGACTTGATGGAATGACCTGAAGGAGTAATTCAGTAACTACTGCTGGAATTTCTGAACCAGTAGAACTAGGTGTGCCGAATTTCACTCCATCAAGTCCGGTGGTAAGGTCTTATCGCAACTAACAAAACGAAACCAAACTCGTCACACCTAGTTCTACTAGTCTAAGAGTTCCATTTGTAACCACCTGATTACACCTTCAGGTCACTCAATCAAGTCCGGTGGTAAGGTCTCATCGTAACTAACAAAACGAACCCAAACTCGGCACACCTAGTTCTACCAGTCTAGGAGTTCCAGTTGCAATCACCGATTTACACCTTCAGGTCACTCCATCAAGTCCGGAGGTATGGACTCGTCATAACTAACAAAACGAAGCCCAAATTCGGCACACCTAGTTCTACTCGTTCAGAAATTCCAGCAGTAGTTACTGAATTACCCCTTCAGGTCACTCTATCAAGTATGGTGGTAAGGTCTCATCATAACTAACAAAACGAACCCAAACTCGGCACACCTAGTCCTACAAGTCTAGGAGTTCCACTTGTAATCACCGAACTACACTTTCAGGTCACTCCATCAAGTCCGGTGGTAAGGTCTCATCATAACCTACAAAACGAACCCAAACTCGGCACACCTAGTTCTACCAGTCTAGGAGTTCCAGTTGCAATCACCGATTTACACCTTCAGGTCACTCCATCAAGTCCGGAGGTATGGACTCGTCATAACTAACAAAACGGAGCCCAAATTCGCCACCCCTAGTTTTACTCTGCAAGAAGTTCAAATAGCGGTCACGAAAGTACACCTTCAGGTCACGCCATCAAGTCCGGAGGTAAGGTCTCATCATAACCAACAAAACGAGCCCAAACTCGGCACACCTAGTTCCGCTCGTCCAGGAGTTGCAGTAGTAGGTAAGTTTATATATTCTACTTATTTTTAGCTAAATAAAAAACTGTGAGTATAAAAATAATAATTTTAACACTTGTCAAGTACTTATGTTTCCAATTTGTTTTTTTCTAATATTTTGTGTATGTACAGCGATCTTTTCAGAATGAGCCGCTGCAAACAGGCGATACAGTGTCCACTCACGACGGCGGCCGAGCGCGGACTGTGGTTTCATCGAAATCTTTGTACAATAAATCAAAGCAGGCACCAACAATAAAATAGCCCTTATTGCAATAGATTATGATTCAGCCGTATTACCAAAATATGTGAAAAAATGTGCATCAGTTTTTATTTTTTTTTACGACTATTTGTGACATTTTGT